TTCTATTAAACAATTACAGTTCACCCCTTGCACCTTTAGTTAATTTCAATTAATCATGAATTAATTTCAGATTAATTCTAATTAATAATGAATTAATTCCACCTATTTCCAATTAATTTATTAATCACATAATAAATTAAAAAATCATTAATTGAAAATTTTTAATTAATATATTAATCACATAATATAATAATAAATCATTTTATCTGTTTCCTAATATCATTTATAGCTAATTCTGGTTATGAGGGTCGCCCGAAAAGGACTTTACTTTTATTCACTAAGACTATACCAATTTAGTTAAGACCTTAGACACCTAATCCAACAAAACCTAAGAAGGGATCCAAGGCTATAAATAGGGCCTTAGAGATCTCAATCTTTATTGCATATTTTCTTGATAAAATTTGCCAATCCTTCTTCCTCCCTCTATATAGGATGTTATCTATAATCTTCTTTGGGTTTGTGAAAATTGACCCTATAGTTATTTTTATTCCACTCTTTGGTGTCATTGGGTGTGATACCATGAGAGGGATTTTGGTTTGGGTTCTCTTATCCAAGTAACCTTGATGAGGACAATATCTTAAGCATGGAAGTCAATGGCTACATAAGAGGTATGTTATTCTTCCTTATGTTTTATGTTTTAGTAAAGTAGTAGTAATAACATGAAACTTGGATCCTTAGGGTGCCTAAACACATATGATTATTGTATGTTTCTGCTGTGCATGATTGTGCATTTAGATGCATATAAAACTCAACAATCTTTTCATGTAATGTCTTTTCAGGAGGTCAAACTCTCTTCCGGTTGGATGATTGGACCGATAGAGGGACTCTTGCTTCTCATTTCCGTTGTTCGTTGGATTTGGACTCTTAGAAATGTTGCTTTATTTCAGAACGAATTTCTCAAGATGGCTTCACTTGGAGATGGAAAACAGAATCCCAGATTGTCGTCCTAGCTACATGAATTGGCTTAGCTAAGCGACCTCCTTCGCAACTTGTTGCCCTCAGACACATCAGACACGTGGAAATCTAACCTCCCCCATGATGGAAAGAACTATGTTAGTGATCTCAAGTACAAAATTGACTCCCGGTTGACTTGCGAGGCTGATAACCCAACTATTTGGCTTAAGATGGTGCCGCTTAAAGTCACTAGTTTTATTGGAGGGCTTGTATGGACCAGATTCTTGCTGTCGAAACCTTAAGCCGAAGGGGTGTCCTTATCCCCACCACCACCTGCCATTTTTTCCCCACTCGCATCGAGGCCACTGACCACATCCTGGTCGAATGCCCCTATATACATGAGGTTATGTTCTGGATCTTCAGATGGTGTAATATTTCGCTCCAAAGCTTCACAACAGTTAAATTAATCATTGATTTTGCTGCAAACTGGGGTCATTTTCCAATGAAGAGAAATATTCTTATTGTGATCATTTATAGACACTTTTGGTGCATTTGGAATGCAAAAATTATAAGCTACTCAAAAATCAATACTCATCTCCAACAAAAAGGACGGGTTACATTATCAAAACGGTGTTTAATTATTAATTGTAAGGATAATTTGGGTACTTGTAATTGGTCAAATTGAGCTTGTTGTCCTTTTAAAACCTTGGAAGGTGTTGTTTTGTTATCTTTTTCCGTCTTATTTCTCTTAGGTAGTGGTTGTTTTTTTCTTTTTTTTTTTAAATTAATTTTTTTTTAAAGTTTGCCGTTTCTAAAAAAAATGTTAATATATAACAATATAACTTTTTTCTACCTTTTATCTTATTGCGATAATGTATGAACTCCAATAAATCTACAATGGATATATAATATACTAGTCTATATTATATATGAAACAATCGTAATCTTTGGTATGAAATTATGTTTTCTTTTCTATTTTTTATATTCTTAGAAGACTAGTGAGCAACTAGCATAGACTACGTCAAGAGTTCAGAAAATCTTTATATCCAATCATTTTTTTATATCTTATATTGCATTTATCCATACGGACAAATGAAAAAAAAATCTAATTATTTCATCTATCCACTTGACGGATGAAAGAAGTGGAATCTAAAAACCTTAATCGAAACTAGAGTTTGCACTATATTAGATATTTGCATGTAAGCAATTTTATGGTTGATCTCTTATTTAAAATTTGGTATGTTACACTTAACAAGTTAATTTTATACTATAAAGAAATTTAATCTTGCAATGTGATCAATTACAAAACCTAAAGGTTGTTTCCATTTCTTTATAAACAACTCCACAGATATAGGGGTTAAAGTGTAACTAGAATAAACTATAGGATTGGAATTCAATTTCTGGGAACGCGTCGACCTCGTCTTTGACAGAAGGCCAGAACACAAATGAAGTCGAGTTAACCACCACTGTGGTTCCTACATGACAGCTGTCAACACATAATCTTTTTCTTAGTTTGTAGATAATGTTTCCTTTTTTTAGATTAAATTAACTAATTGCAATAGTAATATTTAACGTTATTTAAATAATATCACCGTTTAAACACGAATTAACATTTACTCATCATCCAACATCTCCTGCAATTGTTTGAATCACATTCGTACATATTAATTTTCTTCCCATATACAACAAAATATACATTAAAAACATCAAACTAGTCTAATAAATGAAAATCTTTATGCCACATATCATGCTATTATTGATTTGATTACATGTTATTTCGTGATTTTTTCTATTTTATTAAATTCTATATAATATTTAAATGTAATAATTACAATAAATTTAATAAAAAATACATATCAATTTCAATAATTGACTTCTTTCTATTTTTAACATTTCTAAATTAAAACTTCATTAGTTTTCTTTATATATTTATCTAATTATTTGTTTAAATTTAAAAGAGAACAAACACTTTAATTTTAATAATTCAATATTTTTCTAATTTTTCTTATAAATTCAAACTTTTTCAAATGTTTAAAATTTTCATATTTTTTTAAATGAACTCATGTAATACATAGTTTTACACCTAGTGTTTTATTGTACAACTCTACAAAACATAATTTGTTGTGTATGAAAAATTGTTGTTGTGTACGAATCGCTTCCTAATTTTTGTATCTTTTGTCAAATTATAGTAATTTTTGAACTCAGATGATATATTTTCTGAAAATTTAAAATTATTTTATACTTTAATTTATATGGTTAGATGTTAAAGAATACAAAATACTTACAACATTTTTATAAATACTTACAATATATTTCGTAACCTTACATTTTAATAAAATCATCATCTTATGTAAATGTTATGTAAGTAGTATCAAATATTATATAGAATAGTAAAAGAAAAGGGTTGTTATATCTAAAATATATTTAATAGGTAATAATGTATTAAACTAATTAAAGGGTTACAAAACTCTAATAAATAAATGAGTTAACTATAAATTTGGACGTTATGTTCTACGGGTAATAAAAATATAGAATAAAATATTAACTACTGAATCAAAAACCATATGAAAATAATTATGGTTAATTTCTAGACATTTTACATACTCATAATTGAAGATACAAATGTTGTTAAGGTTAAATGGAGTGACTTCGGTACCACCTTGGCATACGATGACTCACCTCCAAACACCGGCCGCCACTTTGACATGTCGACCTTGGTAAACAATTCGGTGAATCGGAGTAGAGGAGAGAGAAATGGTTTTTACCACTTTTAAAAAATAACTTACTTTCCAAAAAGTAACTATTTCTTTTCAAAAAATTTAAATTGTAAGCCTTTTTCAACCAAAATAAATACAAACATCCGTCTTCATTTTTCACTACTATCAAACCTTTAATAATCATCTCTTTTAAACATTCAACATTCATAAATTTCTCTCAAAACGACTTCTTCAAACGCTTGGCCAGTGCATTAAACGATGTACAGGAGGACCCGATGGTTGACATCTACGATCATGGTCTTCGATCTTTTTGGAATAAAATCAACTAACAATTCTATAATGAAATGGGTCAGGCTGCTACTGAAACAAAGAGAAAATCTGGGCACAAAACCCAAATGGCAGTGCACTTTAATATTGTGTTTAATACTCCACAATGAAACATAATTTGCCAAATGGTAAAATGATGAAATGTTGTTGAATAATGCTTTTGCAATTTTCCAAAAAAAAAAAAAACATTACCTTTCTGGTATCTAGAGTTTTGACAAGTTGTTAGGAGAACGCAAAATAACGCTAAAATATGGATGGAAGCAGTATTATTTTTATGTTTTATGTTTTTTATATACTAATTTCAAGTATCATAGTATTAATGAAATTAGTTTTATATAAATTATAGTGTTTTAAATAATCAAAATTAAAAACAAATGTAACATTCCGCTAGCTTTAATGCCTTAAATTTGAGATGTGGACCTTCGCCATGTTACTTTTTCAAAGACACATAATTCTACATTGAAACTACAATCTCTTTCGACTAAGGGACCTGATATTTTCTTTCTTAGTCATCAACATCTAGATTTTTCCTATATTCTTTGTTAAAACTAGCTTCAGTTTCATTATGAACAAAACTGAAATAGAGATGCCACCAAGTAAAGGAAATCACATGTTATTCTAGATGAAGATTTCATCATTTCTTTGAGGTGAGAGTTGTGTCGATGCCTTCACCGATTAGATTAGGAGAAATGTTGTTTTGGAGTTTTATAGTAGCAATATTTCGTGGAGACAATTTAGGTTTTAAATAAAAAAAATGGTATAATAGTTTGAGAGTTATTAAATCCATATTTTTTTTTGTTTACTCTAAATCAATTGGTGAAATGATACAAATATATTTTGTATTTTTTATAGATTACTAATATAACGTTGATATTTTTGACCATCCAAAATTCCAGCTATTCCTTACGTCGGCAATGTGTCAGAGATACAAAAGCACATAAAACATAAATCACAAAAAAACAAAAACAAATCAAATCGCAGGTCTCTGAAATAAATAAATAAATAAAATATCTAGATGAAGAAAAACACAAAAACACACGCATGGTATATTTCTGGTCTTCAGTCTGAACTTCCCATTTTTATTGCCGAGTCCACTGCTTCATTTATTCATAAATGTCCACTCCATCAACCGGAATCTCCTTTGATTCAGATCGCATCACATCCGACCACCGCCACCACTACCAACCGGAATTCATGGACTCCACCAGACACAACATGTCGTCGTCATCACATTCGCCACCACCAACCACCATTCATTTCCCTGTCAACTACCTTGACCCTGATCCTGACAAGTCCGATGATAAACGGATTAACGAAGTTGATTTTTTCACGGATACTAAACACTATCCATCGAAGTCGATCAATTATGATCTTAATTGTAAGGAGGAGATTACTAAACCTGCTATCGATTTGGATTTTAATGTCAATGTAAGATATGATGATGGTATTTTATTTTATTTTACTTTTTATTCTGAGTTTTGTTTCTTCTGTACTTTGTTGTAATCTGTCGTTGACTCTATAGACTCGTTTGAATCTTCTCACTGGAAACACAAGCAGCGATCAATCTGTAATCGACGATGGCATTTCTCCTAGTTATGAAGATAAACGAACTAAACATGAGGTGAGTATCATTATACATACTTCTAAAAGCTTAATGCATGATTATTGTGATGAGTCAAAATCTGAATTTTGATGTAATCAAATGATTTGATATATAGTTAGCAAGTGTTCAAGCAAAATTGGAGAGGATGAACGGTGAGAATCAACGGCTGAGAGAGGCGTTGAATCAAGTGATCTACAATTACAATACACTAGAGAATCATCTCGCGATGATGATACACCAAAAACAAGGTGGTGAAAACCCTAATGGAGAAGGATCTAGAAGGCAAGTTATGGATCTGGGTTTAGCACATCCAGCGAAAGCTGAAACCGATGAGAACTTACAGTTGTCGACGTCAGAAGAAAGGAACCACGATGAACAATCGACGCGACCAATTCTTAACAACCAGAACACTGGAAATATAGATCAATCTTCTGAACCACCGATTCGGAAAGCTAGGGTTTCTGTTCGTGCTCGATCAGAAGCTTCCGTGGTACGTACGTAATTAATGAACAATATTAGAGATTCAGTTTTAATTTTCAATTCTCGAATGACGACGTAATTCATTGAAGAATTTATTTGTTTGGTCTGTTAGATCGCAGATGGATGTCAATGGCGGAAATACGGTCAAAAACTGGCAAAAGGAAACCCATGTCCACGAGCATATTACCGTTGCACCATGGCAGCTGGTTGTCTCGTTAGAAAACAAGTAAGTAATTTCATTCTAATTTTTCAAAAAACGATCATTTCTGTGTTCGAATTGTGATGCATGTTTGATGAACAGGTGCAAAGATGTGCACAAGATAGATCGATCCTGATCACCACTTACGAAGGCAATCACAACCACCCTCTCCCGCCTGCCGCAATGGCAATGGCCTCCACCACCTCTTCCGCCGCCGGAATGCTACTTTCCGGGTCCATGCCAAGCTCCGACGGCTATTTAGGAAGAAATCTCCTCCCTTTCTCTTCTAGCATGGCCACCATCTCAGCATCCGCCCCGTTTCCGACCATCACTCTAGACCTCACTCAAACTCAAAACCCGTTACAGTTCCAACGGAGCCCCGGTCAGTTTCAAGAACCATTCTCTAACCCGAACCACCTGCCCCATATTTTCGGGCAGTCTTTATATAACCACTCCAAATTCTCAGGACTTCAAATGTCTGAAAGCATGGAAGCCAGCTCCCGACCGGGGCAGCTGCTGCCACCTGCCGCGTTGACTGATACTGTTGCAGCCCTCACGGCGGATCCAAATTTTACTGCCGCCCTAGCAGCGGCGATATCGTCTATTATTGGTGGCACCGCCGGCGGGTCTCGTGGGAACAACAATGAGGAAAACGTCAATGCCACCACCAGCAACAACAATGGTCATGGCGACGATAAAGTCAGCAATTCAGGTTTTCAATGAAATTAAAATTCATGAGCTGGTTTTATTCATTTCTTTTTGTAGTTATCTTCCTTATTAATACACACATGTTCCCTATTACCTTTTATATATACATAGTATATAAAGTATTTATTATTTAATGATAAGAAACCTTATTTAATTCAATGATACAAATAACAAGACACATGCGATGATTCAACCTAATTGATCGACGTGATAAGTTGGTATAGTCGGGTGGAAACTTACCCACGATTTTCTTTCTAGTGTATGCGTCAACTATATTATTTATTGTGTTCTTCAATGATATTTTTTTTATAACAATTTAAATTTAATAGGGCCGTTAGATTGGTAAAAAATAGTTATTTGTACGTTTTTAGGCAAATATAGGTCTTCTATTAAAGCGGCGGCAATCATAAAAAACTGATAACGACATAAAATGAATCCAAATTATTCTTGAAAGATTTTAAAACGATATCCTTGCCCGTCGACTTTGATACGGTGGCACCTCGATCTTGAGATACAAGTTAAAGTCAACTTTATGATGTTAGATTCATAGTTTTTATCTATAATAATAGTATCATATCTCAGTTGTGTAACATGGATTCCAAAAACAACACGATAACAATATTAAATACATAATGTTAACATATGTGTATATAGTGTATTTATGTATTCTCGTGTTTTATATTGACCCATAAGGTTCTTAGCCCATTGTCTTGCATAGTCCGTTTATGGCCTTTGTATTTTGTATATATATATTATTTGATAACGTATGTCTATTACTAATATCCGATCATCGGTATCTTTGATCGTTCATCTCGAGCGCCCAATTATAATAAATGGCGGAGATTATTCTACATCCACAGTGTCGGCTATAACGTATGTATGATCACTTGGATGAACTGAAGAAAAAAAATTGTCGGATATACCTAATGAACAAAAATGGCTATGTATCGGCTCCATCATGAAAACTTTGGATATATGAAACTATTTCTCAACCTCTAGTACATATGATTTTGAAACGCAATGCCACAACCTCTCAAGTATGGAACAATCTTGAAAAATTGTTTCGTGATAATAAAGATGAAAAAGTCATTCAACTCGATAGCAAGCTTCAAACCATCTCCATTGGATATTCTTCTATAACCGACTAGTGTACCAAAATCATAACCTGAACCACCGCTCCTAACTTTCTCCAGACCTACACAATGCTCCATTTTAAGAGCAATAAATGTGTCTAAGTATGTCAATTAATCAACATAATATAATGACTAAAATTCTAAAATGTCTAAATCTATCACATGACCTATTCATTTTAACCATTTTAACCGGAAGCTATCAAGTCGGAAACCCCCTTACGGAGAATTTGTGGATCCCCTTCCACACCACTCTCTATTATATTAACGTATGAATTCCATGAACCAAATTATTAATAACAAAATTTTCATTCAGTTTGTCATACTAATTAAACATAACTTTACTTACATAACTTAGAGAAATCATGTTAGCCTATTAAACTATAGGAAAAATGACACATTAGCCCAACAATGTCTTTCAAATTTGCACATTGAGTTCCTTAACTTATTTTCATGCTTTATCAGGGAATAAACTTGTTTTTGTCGGGTCTATTTGGTCATTTTTGAAAAAATGAAGGGCCGAAGGGGTAAGCCGGTAACTTCTTTGCCACCTCATTTAAGGCGTCGACGTGTAATTGTTGACTGTGTCTTGTTAGAGTTTTTAATGAGACAATACCGATACTTTATTCATCCTTTCTCCTTTGACTCGACTGTATCTATTTCCTTCCTTCATTTACTTTCCTCAACCATGGATGTCTACATCATTGTGGATGTGCACTTCCAAGGTATCTTTTCCAAGTACCCTATACGATACATCGAAGATATTAAATAGAGGTCGGTGAACATTGATTTCACAAGCATGGATAAGGACGAGTGCTACACATTCATGGAAAAGATTCACAAGAGAAAAATATGAGAAACTCTGTTACTACCTTCCTGGTGTTGATTTTCCAAAAGGTTTGAGGTTAATTAGGAATGAAATTGAGTACGCCAAATTTATAGCCATTTCTTATGAACGTGGTGCTGAAATCCCAATGTATATAGACCATTTTGGTAATACTAACATGCATGAGTGGTTGGATGAAGAAAAATAGGAAGAAGTAGCTGATGATATACAGGATGATGCTGAAACAGGTGAGATAGTGCATAGGGATGAAAATATCAACCCTTGTTTTTTCTAAAAGAATAATACCTCATATTGTGAAATGGGTGAGGATATAGGTCATCCTGAACCTGTTGATGCTGACATGGTTGAGAATGAAGCTTAAAGAAGCTGACGTTGCTGATCATTTGCCATATATTTTCAATGAGGAGCAACATTGGAAGGAGCAACAACTTGTGTTAGGTATGAGGTTTATGAATCCTAAATAACTCAAACACATGCTATGTAATTATGTAGTTGCAAGTGGTTATCAACTATATTTTATCAAAAATGATAGTAGGAGGCTATTAATTAACTATTGTGATGGAAGCTATACTTTTAGGCTTTAGGGGTCACGAATGGTGATGATCAGTCTTTCCAGATCAAGTCTCTTAAAAGTTAGCATAATTGTGATATGAATTTCAAATTTGGCTCATTTGTCACTTAAAGATAGATGGAAAGTCATTTCACTCAAGAATTTGTAAACTACCAGAAAATGAGTGTTAGACTGCTTAGGGTGGAGGTGAAAAACACATTAGGCATTAAAGTGAGTATGAGTCAGTATAGGAGGGACAATAAATATGCTTTCGATCTAATTGAAGGAGCAACTGTAGACAATTATGCCAAGCTATGGTCATATGGTGAGGAGATTAAATGATCAAATCCAGATTCAAATGGTAGACATTACTTTAGTAGGATTTACATATGTTTTCATTGAGTGAAAGAGGGTTGGAGGTCAGGGTGTAGAAGGATAATTAACCTTGATGGTTGTTTCCTGAAAAGTTATTACCATGATGATTCACTTTGTGTTGTGGGTAGGGATGCTAACAATGGAATTGTATCACTCAAAATCACAATAATTTAAAATTTTCAAAAATTTAACCATACATCATCATTGTTTAAAAAAATAGTCATTGTTTCAAAAGTATTATTTCAAATCAGAGTTTTTCCCCAAGACCTAGAGACATAAAACAGGGAGCTGTGTACCATCATGCATTCTTCTTTCCACGATCCTTGGAAGTACTTGAAACCATAAACTAAAACTGTAAGCCAAAGCTTAGGGCCTACAGCCTATCCGGACCGCTCTACGAGCCTTCAGCATGACTGGACCGCCTCGTAGGGCCTACAGCCTATCCGGACCGCTCCACGGGCCACAACCCTGACTGGACTGCCTCGCAGGGCCTACATCCTATCTAGTCGTCCACGGGTATCTTGGTTCACAACACAAAGCAAGACCACATTAACCCAACACAACGTGACGACATATACAACAAACAAACATAAACATATAGTCAACAAATACAAATAATCATACGGATCCACCGAACAACTACAACTATCAAATCACTATCCTGACCAGGATAAATAATCTAGTGGGCTGGCATTGGTGCCTTCGACCCACGGGTACAGTGAGGAAACTCACCTCACAGTCTGACAAAGGCTGAAAAATACACTGCTCCGAATACCGGTTCTACTGATCACCTATTCAACAGATAGAGACCAAGGCTCAACTATAGCTCAAAATACCCAAAACACCCTTAAGTCAAACTTGGTCAAACCTGGTCAAAGTCAAACTCAATGGTTTGGTCCACTTAGCTGAGTACGCGAGGCGTACTTAGCTCCTACGTTGGGCGTAGTCGTGCTTTGACCGGAGTCGGGAAGTTGACCACGTCCGCGGTGTGTACTCTAGGTTAAGCATGACGTATCTCAAACTTCCTTTTTCTTCAATAAGAGCTTAATGCATTATGCTCTCACATCCCAATTCACATCCAAGGCCAATATACCACTAAGAGTCATAAATTTTCCAACTTTATGACTTTGCATGCCCATTAAGTGCTTAACACACAAAATCCCAACTTCTTAACACTTTAAGACGTTCTAGAGCATGCATGGGGAAAAACTAAGCATCAAGACCACATTTTTATGACTCAAGACCCCTCAATAGGTCTGAAAGGATGACTTAATCGATTAAGAGCATGCCATGCTCAAGAATCATCATAGTTGGGACCAAAAATGCCCTAAATGAAGAAATGGATAGATTTACAAGATATGATGATCAACCAAGGAGCTTTTTTACCTCCTGGAGGTTGCTAGCAAGGAGAGAATCCCAGATCTAAGTCGCTTCCAAGCTTCAAGGTCTTCCCACCACCTTCTTCTTCTTCTTCTTCTTCTTCAAGAATGACACCAAAACACAAAGTTGAGCTCAAAATGCACTCTTCTCACTTAGGGTTAGTAAGAGGGACATTTTATCAGGTGGAGGCTGATGAGGGAATGAGATGTGAGATGATAATTATGCTTATATATATGGACCAAACCCTAAAAATTAGGGTTTAAGGATTTACCATGTACGCCCTACGTATACGGTGTACGCCCAACGTACTAGGGTCCGCCCTAGCACGCCTAGCGTACACAACGTACGCCCAACGTACTAACTTATGGCCAAAATCACCAAAATGCCACTATGGGCCATTCTTGCAATCTTCTAAAGCCCAAGGGTTAAAAATGCAATATTCCTTCATACATAGGGTTAAAAATTCAAATTACCTCAATATTGGGATGTTATAGGAATATTCCTAATTGCTTGGGCAGTTGTATGTGTAGAGAATAAAGATAATTGGAAACGATTTATTGAGAATCTTACAAAATATTTGAACATTGCAATTCATGGAAATGATCTAGTTCTGATGTTTGATCAACACAAGGTATGCTTCATTTTGTTATTGTATTTTAATGCATTGCCTGTCATTCTAACTTCATCATATGATGCTATATATGTAAGGATTGGTTGAGGCAGTGAAGGAGGT